ATACATAGCCATGAGTGAATCAATTTTGCCACTGATCCTTAGAGATGTCTGCTCTCCCGCCCCTCTTCCTGAATTGTTTCTGTCCCTTGTGGTTAAAATGACAAAACCACCGACTGCCAGCTTCTTAATAATCTGTTGTTATAATAACTATAAAGCATTTCAGATCATTTTACCCTTTTGTTTTGTCTATTTAGACTATATATACAAGGGTTTTTCTTTTATTGTTCTCTACTTTGGGGGAGAAGAAGAGAAGAAGCGGGATATAAATACTACTAATAATAATTTGATCTGTTAATGAAAATGGAACATTTCTGGCTGAACAGCAGTGTACAAATACATTAAAAAGTACAGCCACATTAATTTGAACGCATCTCCTCTGAATTAATATCTGAATGAATAAATACATCTCAATTCTCTAATTATATATGTTTCCCATAACTTTTCATTATTATCTGCATTTGTTTACTTTTTTATAGTCGGTAGAGAACTGAGTAAGATCTCAGGTATGCCTATAAGATGAATATATCTATAGTCAAGAAACTACAGCAATTTATCTTTTAATTAGTTAAAAGATCACATATATTTATGATGCCATAAAGTGAATAATTGATGCCTGCATGAAATGTTTATTACAATTTTATGTGAAGAAAACAGGAATGATTCTGGGGAGCTTAAGATAGGCTCACCAAAGAGATACAACTTCACGTAATGGCTTCTGCATTAGAATAGATAAGACTGGAAGAAAAGGTTACCACATAATTTATTTACTTATACTCGTATATTTCAGCAATAAACTTTAACAACCTTCATATCCCAAAGCCTTGGCTGAATAACAATGAGTTAGAGATCTATACATAAAATTTTAAATTAAAATTAGACATATAGACAAGAGCAACAAGGTCAGTTCTCAGGAGATCTACAGGGCATCTTAGTGGATTCAGCACAGGAAAGGGGCCCTGACAAACCCCAGAGAAGACGTGTGCTGGTAGTAGGTGACTCCCTCTTGAGAGGAACAGAAGCAGTGATTTGCAAATGTGACAGCATGTCTCGAGAAGTATGCTGTCTTCCTGGAGCAAAAATCCACCATGTAACTGACTGACAAGACTCATCAAGCCCAGTGACCATTCCCCTTCTCCTGTTGATTCCTGTGGCAATCATGGATACTGCAAGGCATAGTCTACAAAAGATCAGAAGGGATTTTGAAGCTCTGGGGAGAAAATAAAAAGATTGTAATTTAGAGGCTGTCTTTTCATCTCTCCTCCCAGTTGCACGATGCAGCCCAGGAAAGGCGCTAAATATTGTAGAGGTGAACAACTGGGTCCGCAAATGCTGTTATCAAGAACAATTTGGCATCCTGGACCATGGTCTGCTTTTCCAGAAAGATCGGTTTCTGACACGGGATGGACTGTACCTCACAGAAGTTGGAAGGAATGTTTTGCTGCGAGACTTGCAAACCTGATTGGGTGGACTGAGTTGTGTAGGGGAGGGTGATAATATTATTGGGGACATTATCAAGGCCCAGACAAAACAGCCCAAAGGTTAAAGAGAGAGTTGGACAAACAGAACAAGTACAAAGCAGTGAGAGGACAGTAATCTCAAATAACTGGCTAGGGGGAATGTCCCATAGGATTAGAGGTCTACACTAATGCACAGAGTATGGGAAATAAACAAGATGAACTGGAACTGGAAATATTGAAACCTGGTCGGATAAGTCCTATAATTGGAATGTAGTTATGGAGGGGTATAACTTATTTCAGAGTAATAGACCAAATAGGAGAGGGGGATGGGGTAGCATTATATGTTAAGAATGTTTACATCTGTGAAGAGAAGCAAGACTTCAGTCCTGACACTCAGCTGGAGACTATAGATAAAAATTAAGGGAGCAAGAATGGAAACAGATGTAGTTGCGTGGGTCTACTCTTGCAATGACCACAACCTCCAAGCCAGACTGAAGATGTGGATGAAGCCTTCCTTGAGCAGATGAGCAAATATGCACAAAGTAGTAACGGGGAATTTCAACTACTCTGATATTTGTTGGAAAACAAACTCTGCCAAGTCCAAAAATTCCTCACTTGCCTTGCAGATAATTTTATTGTCCAGAAGGTGGAAGAAGAAGAAAAAAGGTTCAGCTATTCTGGATTTTATCCTAATGAACACTGAGGATCTGATCAACGGAGTGGAAGTGGTGGGATTTCTTAGGTGGGAGTGACCATGTGCTCATGGAGTTTGTGATACAAATGAAGGGTGAAACTAAAAGAAGTCAAACATGCATTCTAGACTTTAGGAGAGCTGACTTCAAGAAATTTAAGGAAATACTGAGAGTGATTCCATGGACAAGAATACTAAAAGATAACGGAGTTGATGATGGATGGGTATTTCTTAAAAGTGAGATACTGAAGGCACAAATGCAAACACCTTATTTGTCTCAATCTTCTCCCAAAAGGGAGTCATACCTGACTAGTATGAAGCCGAAGAGGTAATAGGTGAAATTCAACCCAAGAGGTAAAAAAGTAGTACAGGAATACCTGGCTACTCTAAATGAGTGAACAAGGCCAGGTGAACGATACCTAAGAGTATTGAAGGAAACTAGCAGAAGTCATTTCAGAACCACTGGCAATAATCTCTGAGAATTCTTGGAAGCTCCATCTTTATAGAGACTTTTAAACAAAAGCCAGATGGCTTTCTGTTGGGGTGCTTTGTGCTTTTCCTGAATGGTGGAAGATTGGACTAGGTGGCTCATGTGGTCTCTTCCAACTCAATTATTCTACGATTCTATTTTACTCTTCCTATTTATCGTGTCAACCGCAACCAGAACATTGTATTACATTTCTAACAGAACAAAACAAACAAACAGATAAAAAACCCACAAATTTTGCAAACTTGGTAGCTGATTAAATGTCCTTTGACCAGTATCTGTCCACTTGGAGTGCCTCTGGTGTTGCCGCAAGAAGGTCCTCCATCGTGCATGTGGCAGGGCTCAGGTTGCATTGCAGCAGGTGGTCAGTGGTTTGCTCTTCTCCGCACTTGCATGTCATGGATTCAACATTGTAGCCCCATTTCTTAAGATTGGCTCTGCATCTCGTGGTGCCAGAGCGCAGTCTGTTCAGTGCCTTCCTAGTCACCCAGTCTTCTGTGTGCCCAGGGGGGAGTCTCTCATCTGGTATCACCCACGGATTGAAGTGTTGGGTTTGAGCCTGCCACTTTTGAACTCTCGCTTGCTGAGGTGTTCCAGCGAGTGTCTCTGTAGATCTAAGAAAACTATTTCTTGATTTAAGTCGTTGGCGTGCTGGCTGATACCCAAACAAGGGATGAGCTGGAGATGTCTCTGCCTTGGTCCTTTCACTATTGGCTGCAACTTCCCGGCGGATGTCAGGTGGTGCAATACCGGCTAAGCAGTGTAATTTCTCCAGTGGTGTAGGGCGCAGACACCCCGTGATAATGCGGCATGTCTCATTAAGAGCCACATCCAGTTTTAGTGTGGTGAGATGTGTTCCACACTGGGCATGCATACTCAGCAGCAGAGTAGCATACAGCAAGGGCAGATGTCTTCACTGTATCTGGTTGTGATCTCCAGGTTGTGCCAGTCAGCTTACTCTTCCTGAATGTAAGCAATACTTTAAACCATTTAAAGTGTGGGTCTTGCCCCCAAATGGTTTCGCTCAGTGTTGGGACACAAAAAAAATTGGCAACAGGAAAAGGTTTCCCGAGGCCATCCGTTCACATGAATCTGTTAGCAACAACATGCAGGGTTTATAGTGGACTATGCAGAAAATGCTTCAGCTTTACTCCACAAAAAGGAAAATCAGCCTGTCTTGCAAATGTTGATTTATTATAATTTATTATAATTGTTTGATTTGTATATCTAGTTTATATGCCAATATAGACTCATATAATGCATGATGTAGATGTGTCTCTCCTGACCATATAATGATGGGGTGTAAGTTGTAAGATTTCCCTTCTTTTGGGGAAATCTATATAAATAAGTAAGTAAATAATCTATATAAGTAAATAAGTGATGGTGCTCCATGCAGTCATGCTGGCCACATGACCTTGGAGGTGTCTACGGACAATGCCGGCTCTTCGGCTTAGAAATGGAGATGAGCACCACACCCCAGAGTCAGACATGACTGGACTTAATATCAGGGGACTACCTTTACCTATATAAATAAAAATGCAATGTTCGTTTGTGGGATTAACATAACTCAAAAACCACTGGACGAATTGACACCAAATTTGACACAATACACCGGTCAGACCAACATAAAAAACACCCCCAAAAACACAGCCAAAAACAAAAATTACATTACAACGCATCCACAAACCCACCCACCCACACATATATATGTATGCAACCACACATATACACAAATATATGCACACACAAAATACATATACTCAGACTGGGCCACAGCAACGCGTGGCAGGGGACGGCTAGTAGGATATAAATAAAATGATCGTTGGGTTGATTTGCCCTGGCAGAAAATAATTTACATTATTTAGCAAAATACGCTAAATAATTTATTTCCTTGTTGGGCTTTCTAGCAGTTCAGCAGTCACGAAAGCTTCGGAAAGGAATGACAGAATTTCAGGCTGCGAGAAGCAGTGCGTTTCTAACAGCGACGTCCCCTCCCACCCTGCAAAGACTGGCGGAAGAGAAACCCACGCAGCCTCCCCTGCCAGTAGAAGGGAGTCACTTCAAGGACGAGTTAAAATGGTGTCGCTGAAGCCGTGCCCTTCTGCTGGAGGAAGCGCATTGGCAAATACAAATAGCCTTGGAAAACGCATAACTAGCATGAACTGATCTCGTACGCATGCTCAGAAAATTCAGTTTAAACTCTGCTCCCCCCAAGCTCTTTTTTTTTAGTTTAATGTCGTTTTATAAGATTGTATACTCTTATTATATGTGTTGATGGGCTTGTTTTAGTCTTCTGGGAGTTGGAGTTCCAAGCGTAGGCCTGAGAGGCCCTCGTTGCTCTGTGTGGGTTTCCTCTCTCCGCCTCTTTTGCATCTCCATCCGGAGGAGGAGGAGGAGGAGGAGGAGGAAAGGGCGCCACTCGGGGCCCTCCATCCCTCTCTTCCCGAGGCATGGAGCAGGCTGCCCCCGAAAGCCAGGCCGAGGAGGCGGGACAGAGGCGGCTCTTCCTCGTGAAAGGTCCCCGGCCTCTGTTTTTGTGGGAGGGAGAAGCAGGGTGCATCTACACCAGGCCCGGGGAAACTTGGGCCCACCAGGTGCTTTGGACTCCAACTCCCAGCATTCCTAACAGCCTCAGGCCCTTCCTTTGCCCCTCAGCCGCTTAAGCGGCTGAGGGGGCAAAGGAGGGGGCCTGAGGCTGTTAGCAATGCTGGGAGTTGGAGTCCAAAGCACCTGGTGGGCCCAAGTTTCCCCCAGGCTTGATCTACACTGTAGAATGAATGCAGGTTGACCCTACCTAAACTTCCAGGGCTCAGTGCTATGGGATTTTGGAAGTTTGTAGTTTTGCAAGCTCTTCACCTTTTCTGCCAAAAAGTGCTGGTGCCTTGGCAAACTACAACTCCCCAGATCCCATAGTAACGAGCCATGGAAGTTAAAGTGGTGTCAGATTGCATTTCAGTTGTCAACACATTTTCTAATTAGCGCTTGCAGTACTGTCCAATCGCCGCATCTGTCATAGAATCATAGAATCCTAGAGTTGGAAGAGACCTCATGGGCCATCCAGTCCAACCCCCTGCCAAGAAGCAGGCAAATTGTATTCAAAGCACCCTGACAGATTGCCATTCAGCCTCTGTTTAAAAGCCTCCAAAGACGAGAGTTCCACTGCTGAACAGCTCTCACAGTCAGGAAGTTCTTCCTCATGTTCAGATGGAATCTCCTCTCTTGTAGTTTGAAGCCATTGTTCCGTGTCCTAGTCTCCAAGGAAGCAGAAAACAAGCTTGCTCCCTCCTCCCTGTGGCTTCCTCTCACATATTTATACATGGCTATCATATCTCTAAGTCTTCTCTTCTTCAGGCTAAACATGCCCAGTTCCTTAAGCCGCTCCTCATAGGGCTTGTTCTCCAGACCCTTGATCATTTTAGTCGCCCTCCTCTGGACACATTCCAGCTTGTCAATATCTTTCTTCAATTGTGGTTCTCATTCAGATAACATTCAGATAACATCAAATGCTATTGAAATGAATGATTTTTGGGGAAGCAGTGGAACTCTCTGCCCAGGCGTACAGTAGAGGCTCCTTCTTTGGAGGCTTTTAAACAGAGGCTGGATGGCCATCTGTCGAGGATGTTTTGAATGCGATTTTCCTGTTTCTTGGCCCACAAGTCTCTTCAAAATCAATGACTATGATTCACTATACCATTGAATTGCGGTGGAAGGTGTAGAAAATGCCTGCAAAGAACAATTTTTAGGTTCTCTACAGTCGACACCTAGAAGATGTATGGTATGAAATTGCACAGGACGACCTGGAAAATGCATAGAGAGAACATATCTTTTCAGGCATGAGTAACTGAAAGTTTGGGTATTGAATTTGTGTATATAGGGGTAGTGATGTATTTAGTGCTCTGCATTTGTCCAGAAGGGTGGAATAGTGGGGTGTGTGTTGCTTTGATGATGACAAGGTGGAAAGGACCAGGTACTTCTTATGTTCCTACCAGGAGCCACAGTGGTGCAACTCTTGTGCCGTCTGAACTGCTGACCTGAAGGTCAGTGGTTTGAATCCGCGAGATGGAGTGAACTCCCGTCTGTCAGCCCCAGCTTCCCATGTGGGGACATTAGAGAAACCTCCAACAGGATGGTAACACATCAGGGCATCCCCTGGGCAACGTCCTTGCAGACAGCTGATTCATTCACAGCAGAAGAGACTTGTAGTATGTTTTCAATTCGCTTCTGACAGGATAAAAAAAGTTCTTGCCTAAAATTTGCTTACTATATTATTTGTCTTTTCTCCCAGGACAGAGACCCAAAGTGGCCCACAACCTTAAAAACCAAACTATTGTAAAAACCTATAAAATATATGCCTGTATTTCATCACATAATAGTCATCACAATCCCATTTTAGGCTGATTTTCCCTTCCTTCTTTCTCTGAAGGAAAGGCAGTTATAAAATGAAGGTCTCTGAAACTCCACTCTTCTCTCCTCCCTTCTTCCTACTACTTCTGAGGTCTCAATGCAGTTTACAAAGCTTGGAATTGAGTTATTTGGAGAAATAAGGAAGATCCAAGTTCCACAAACCTCCATTTCAGGTTTTGGAAACTGACTTATGGCCTCAGAGGAAGGAGAAAGCAGAGAAGAGTGGAGCTTCAGAGACCTCAATTGAGAGACCTCAATTAGACTGCCATGCCTTCAGAGAAAGAAGGGAAAATCAGCCCCAAATGCCTCTGCAGTTTAAATCAATCAAACAAACAGAAACAGAGCAGTTTTTGAAACTGGATCGTCTCTTCAGTCTCAAACAAACAGAAATCTGAGAATAGATATTTTTCTTTGTGTAATAGTTGCACCACCACCCCTTAAAAAGGGGGGGGGGTGAGTACAAATATTACGCAGTGAAATATGGTATGTTAAAATAGAATTACATGTTTGAATTATTAAAAGAATTCAGGTAAAACCATTAAAGCAATAAATAAAAGATTTAAAAACAGTTCAAACGAATAGGTTGGTCAGACTTGGGGCAGTCATATGACTGAGTTTACAGAGCAAGTCAGACATTTAGGTACCTCTGTGATCTCAACAAACTGTACTAGCAATCCTTAATTTCAAATAATGACATAACTCTGCTTGGTCTACTCTTCAGACCATGAACCCATTAATTTCTTTTCGCTTACAATAAAAGATCTTTGATTGGTTTGGTCCAGACTATTTGTCTAATCGTATATCCCTATACAGACCATCCCATGCACGGCTGTGAGTGGAGGAGGCATTCCTCTCGGTCCCACTCCCGTCACAAGATCGTTTGGTGGGAACGAGAGAGGGGGGCTTCTCTGTGATTGCTCGCTGTCTCTGGAACTTCCTAAAGAAGAAAAAATGCCCCCACCCTCCTTTCCTTTAAGAAACTTCTAAAAACACATCTATGCACTAGCGTATGGAGAGGAGGAGGACTAAGACACTTTAACTACTTGGAATGCTGGCTAGTCCCAGTTATTTACATTTCAAATGAACACCAGTGCCAGCCATTTTTAATGTAACTGTATTTTAAATTGCTTTTAGGGTTTTTTTTTTTTTTTTGCAATGTTTACTTACGCTCACTCCCGCTGGGGAGTTAGGGCGGAATATAAATAAAGTATTATTATTTTAGTTAAGTGTGTCTTATTGGATTGTTTTGCTTTATTTTTCACCACAAGGCTTAATTCTTCATTATAAGCTCACTGTTATTACTGTTGCTTTATTGTGTATTATTTTGATATTTTTGTACTCTCCTGAGGCATTGAATGCTTGCCTTTTTGTGTGTGCAAACCACCCTGAATCCCTGCAGGGAGAGAGGGTGACCAAGAAATAAAGTTTTTTTAAATTATTATTATTATTATTATTATTATTATTATTATTATTATTATTATTATTTCATTTTTACTGTTTCCTCTATATTGGCAGGTGGCCTTTTTCTTACTACAGTCGCTACTGCAGGAATTCTAGCAGGTTTTGGTACAACGCTTTCCATGGCAAAAAAGAAAAACCCCAACTGGTTCAATAAGGTTAGTTTTAAAAATGTTTTAAAAGATGCGTCTTCATCCTAGTGTTGTTCTCTTGTTGCTGATGAGGAAACATCCCTTGGACAAAATAGGTTCTTTAAAAAAAAAACACACACAGCCAAAATCATTGGGCAGAGTAGATAAAATCACTGTATTGTGTGATTTTTTAAAAAGTTGAAAATTGGCTTTTAATTTAAAAAAGCAATCTTGGCAAATAACCTGGTTTAAAAATGGAATCTGAATTTATTATAAGCAGGAATGTTGTTACTATGGAGACAACAAGATAATGTTTCTGTTTTTCATATTAGATACACTTGTCATGGATTTTGCTGTTATTTAAATATACAGAAGTGCCTTAAGTTAATAAAAGAAATCGTGCTTTGTATAGAAGGCAAGTAGCATATGACTCAAATCCCTTCTCTAAAATAGTACCTTCCCTTCCCTTTCATCAATTAGGTCTTTTCTTCTGTACTAAAGAACTGGGTAAATGTGTTTTCTAGTGATTTCTTCATCACTTGACGGTTTAAATAAGTTTTGCATACATCATATGATAGATTTTCCTGTAAACAATGGCATATCTGAGTATTATTTGCCCCAGAGGAATTATTTCATTTGCCAACTCTCTTGAACTAATAAACCCAAATCAGCTCTTTGGTTATTGCTTTTTGAAGGCTTTCATTCTTTCCACAACATTTTGAACAAAATGCCCATTTTGTATCTCTGGCCCCTTCCACACAGCTGAATAAAATCCCACATTTTCTGCTTTGAACTGGAATATATGGCACTGTGGACTCAGATAACCCAGTTGAAAGCAGATGTTGTGGGATTTTTTTGCCTTGATATTCTGGGTTATATGGCTGTGTGGAAGGGCCCTCCCTGAAAACACAAGAGTGTCTTTTTCATGCCGGAATACAAAATAAGTGTCTTCATGTGTCTTCCTTGGCTTCTTTTATGTAGCAAAGTGAACTATGGATATTTTGAGTCCTGATGTGAAGGTTCACCAGCCCTCTTTGACAGAGAAACCTTAAAGGCCCTGTAAAGCTACAGATTCCAGGATTCCTTAGCATTGAGCCATGGTAGTTAAAGTGGTGTCAAACTGCATTCATTTTGCAGTGTAGTTGCACCCCTAGTGTGCTAAAAAGGACACTCTCCCACTTTTGTACCAAATATTGGATTTCAATAAAGACCATCAGGTTCAAATATAGTGTGAGCATAAAGACTGATAGCAAATCAGTCACATGGTTTGTGTTAATCACCTCAACCCCTATACTACCAGTCAGTGTTGGGATTCATAAATAACACTGGTCTGCACACATTTTGGTGCCTCAAATGTTAGCCCCTATTTCTGGGGCTCTCGGTGGTGAAGCGGGTTAAACTGCTGAGCTGCTGAACTTGCTGGCTGAAAGGTTGGCAGTTCGAATCCGGGGAGCGGGGTGAGCTCCCACTGTTAAGCCCAACTTCTGCCAACTTAGCAGTTTGAAAACAAACGTCACCCAGAGGAACTTTTCATTGTTTGCCCCAAGTGTGTGGAATGCCTTGCCGGAAGAGATTCGACAGCTAAATCAGCTGTCAGAATTCAAGACACATCTGAAGACCTCTCTCTTCTGGAAGAATTGTTCCAAGTATTTATATATGTATATTTTACATAAATATGTTTTAAGATATGCCTTTTATTGAATTTTTAAATGGTTATTCATATGGATGTTTATTCCACTTCATTAAACCAACTACTCTTCCAGGGTGTGGTGGCCACAGCTGCTTTGCCAGAGAGTGGTCCATCCCTTGCTTTGCGCGCCTTAGGATGGGGCTCGCTCTACGCCTGGTGCGGAGTAGGACTCATCAGTTTTGCTGTCTGGAAGGCTTTGGGTGTTCACAGTGTAAGTACCTTGGGCTTCATTTCGCAAATTAATGGCTTTGTAGAAATGCCAGAAAGCATACGAGCTTTGTATGTGACATATGTTTTCAATGAATGGCTCTGCTTTGTAATATTATAATTTATTAACACATTTAAAACCATTTCAGCTTAATTTGTGGGGTTTTTATAGCACAAGTAGTTTTATTTTAATATGTGTATATGTAATGCTTTTATTGATAATGAAGGTAACCTAAAATCTAATTTATAAGGGACATTGATGGACACAGGAGTATCTGCAAATTCACATATGAAATCTCAGATGAAAAGCATTCCTAATCATAGGCTCTGTGACAAAAACTAGATAGTGTAGTAACAAAAGGAAGCCTTTGCTTGGCACTGATTTGAATGTATAATAATTCAAGACTTTAGAGGGAAAGCATTCTTAATCTTAGGCTCTGTGACAAAAAAGTAGATAATATGGTGGCGCAATCGATTAAACCGCTGAGCTGCTGAACTTGCTGACCAAAAGGTTGGCAGTTTGATTCCAGGGCGTGGGGTGAGCTCCTGCTGTTAACTCCTGCCAACCTAGCAGTTTGAAAACATGCAAATGTGAGTAGATCAATAGGTACCGCATTGGCGGGAAGGTAACAGCACTCCATGCAGTCATGCTGGCCACATGACCTTGGAAGCATCTATGGACAATGCTGGCTCTTTGGCTTAGAAATGGAGATTAGCAACCCCCCCCCCCCACGAGTTGAACACAACTAGACTTAATGACAGGGGAAGTCTTTACCTTTACTATTGTAATAAAAGGAATCCTTTCCTTGACACCAATTTGAACTTACAGAAATAAAACCTACACTTATACCAAGCAATACTCTGTAGTCATTCAGTATCCTTAACAGGGCATAGACTTCTTTTTAGGAAGGGAGTTCTTGATATACTAAAAGCAAGGGGAATGGTGTGGAAAAACAATTGCAAAGATGTATTTTCTATATTTTCAGAGATGCCATCTATAGATTTAATTGGAGGTCTTTCAAAGGCCTTAGTTACATCAGAGTGCCATCTGGTGGCAGGAGAGGGAATGACACAGGCTTTTCATGTTTTTTAAGTACACTTCATTAAGGATATCTTAATATTACTTCCTGCAGTGATATGCCTGGATGCATCTTTTCTTTGACAAACTCTTGTGATGTCTCACATTCATGTAAAGTGTAGTGTGTAGCAGATATTCAATTTGCAGTCTCTCATTATGGCATGTTCTTTGTGAAGATTTTTTCAGGGATGATAAGCAAAACCATTTGCATTTACTCCTAAAACTGCAGTATGTGCACATGTTTTTTTCTGTGTATGACATGCATTTACAGGAATGTTTTTAATTCTTCACTCTATTGTGTACCAATATGAATTGTCATTAGGTAGGATGTAAAATGGCTGCATTCAGAAGAGCCTCTTGGATCCTTATGTCTTATGCTCCTTAGCCCACTTGTGCTTACATTGATATTTAAACTTACGTCGAAATAAGGGGGTGGCCCCCCTGATAGCGCAACGGGTTAAACCACTGAGCTGCTGAACTTGCAGACTGAAACATTCGTAGCTTGAATTCACAGAGTGGGGTGAGCTCCCGCTGTTAGCCCCAGCTTCTGCCAGTTCGAAAACATGCAAATGTGAGTAGATCACTAGGTAATCCATGCTGGCCACATGACCTTGGAGGTATTTATGGACAACGCTGGCTCTTTGGCTTAGAAGTGGAGATGAGCATCACCCCCCAGAGTTGGACATGACTACACTTAATGTCAGGGGAAACCTTTACCTTTAGCTTAGAAATAAGGGAGGTGAGGAACTTAACCAATGCACACACATCCTGGTCCCATTACAGCATACTACAGTAGACTTTTTGTTTTTGTTTAAAAGGAAGGGTGATTATATTAAAGCCTAAATAAATCCCATGTTGGTAGAATCAGAATTGGAGACACTGTGATCTGAGATCTCTTCCTTCTGGCATGTTATCCATTTTCCCTGTTTAAAATTTGTCTGCTTCACCGTGCTAGTTCATTCAGATATGTATTCAGTCGTATTTGGAAAAGGGTTGTTAGGCTTAACAAAGAGCATATTTTATCAAGAAAGAAAGAGAGTGTGTGTGTGAGAGAGATGTACAACACAATCGTCCTTGTGTCTGGAGTCAGCAGATGAGGGAAGGTATTTTGTGTTGGAGTCTTCCTCAACCCAGAACAATCATAAGATAATTGCAAACATCCCCATGAATCAGTTATTTCAAAGGAGCCTATTTAATGATCACAACATCTGTGCAAGTTTTAATTCCAATTGCCATACAAATAACTCCATTATGTGAGCAAAAAACCAAAACGAAAAACAAAACACTGGATTAAAATGTGTAGTAATTGTTTTCTAACAGTTATATCTGAATTTTAGAAATGTACTGTTAGCCAGAGGTAAAAGGAAATGCATCTTTTATGTTTAATTAAAGCTGCAATTGCAGCATTTCCAAGCTATAAAAACATATATTTCGCCTATTTGTGGCTATTATTTTTGCTTGTTTCTAAAAAGGAAGCTTTTGTATTTTTATAATTTCATAGTAACCCATGGTGATTGATAAGCAAAACGAATAGAGTGGGGGAAAAAGAGCTCTTGTACTCAGGGCATCCTCCATAAATCAAGGATGTTATCACATCACAAAGCAGATTCTGTTTCTTGTTTCGTGGCAAGGATGAGTCATATAATATTTATGCTTGAAACAAAACAAAACAGAAAATGCTGTTAGTGTTGCATATGCAGCTGATGAATGCATTCATTCCCTCCTCTCTCCCCTCAAATACTGTGAGCAGGGATCCTGCACCCTTATAATTTATCTTCTTCATGGTAGTGTTCCTAACCACTTTGTTTTGCTCATATGTTAACCTTTAAAAGTACTAAGAACAAGGCATCACTGCGTACTTTCATTCTGTGTAATTAAAGCTGAGGCTAATAATTAAGTTTGCTTGTTTAGAATATTTATATCACTGCCAAGTTTGGTAAAACAAGAGCAAAATGTGTTGTTGTTATGTGCCTTCACCTCATGGGGCTCTTTTGGCAAAGGCAAACTGTGAGTTGCCCAGGAATTCGAACCCTGATCTCCAGAGCTGTCGGCCAACACTGAAATTGTTACAAGATGCTGGCTTACAGAACAAAATTAATAACACCTGAAAAACAAACAGAAACAATGTATAAAAGAATAAATATCACCCTTTTTGAAAAGCCTGTCAGGGAGAAAAAGAGAATTCATCTGTCAACAAGGAGGAAGGCAATTCTGGCCCCTTAGAAAGGGAATGACAGGACCCAGGGGCAGACACTGAGAAGCCCTCTCTTGTGTCCCCAGCAGCTCTGCTTGCAGTGGTGGTGAGGCTGAGGGAAGGGCCTCTCCTCAGGATTTTGGGGCCCAGACAGGCTCTTATAGGGAGATATAATCTTCCACATGGCCTGGACGTGAGATAAGTACTCTTGCCTTTCTGGTGTGGAGGAACTATAATAGACGGATCATTACTTGGACAGGTTTAAACTCACTGGGACTCAAAACCTCTGCAGAGGTTGGGGACTGATTAGGAGGATGGTCTGCCCAGGAGACTGATGGATCCAGATGGATTTTTATTGGCTCTTGGAGATTTTCCTGTTACTTTGGCAAGTGATACTGTCAAAGCTCTGGCTGACCTCCAGAATGGGGAAATGGTTAGGGTAGTAGACATAATTGCTCCTTATGGAGTGGATCCAAGCTGGCCCCCTGTTTTGTTTTGTTTTTAGCTGATTGGTGGCAATGAAGTGAGTGAGGCAGAGAACAGAGTAACATTGGTGGAAGACTTGAAGCAAATCTGATAGAGCACAGGCTAAACCAAGCATGGGCAAACTTCGACCCTCCAGGTGTTTTGGACTTCAACTCCCACAACTCCTAACAGCTGTTGTTGTTCATTCGTTCAGTCGTCTCCGACTCTTCGTGACCTCATGGACCAGCCCACGCCAGAGCTCCCTGTCGGCCGTTACCACCCCCAGCTCCCTCAAGGTCAGTCCAGTCACTTCAAGGATGCCATCCATCCATCTTGCCCTTGGTCGGCCCCTCTTCCTTTTGCCTTCCACTTTCCCCAGCATAATTGTCTTCTCTAGGCTTTCCTGTCTCCTCATGATGTGGCCAAAGTACTTCACCTTTGTCTCTAGTATCTTTCCCTCCAGTGAGCAGTCGGGCTTTATTTCCTGGAGGATGGACTGGTTGGATCTTCTCGCAGTCCAAGGCACTCTCAGAACTTTCCTCCAACACCACAGCTCAAAAGCATTGATCTTCCTTCGCTCAGCCTTCCCTAAGGTCCAGCTCTCACATCCGTAGGTGACTACAGGGAATACCATGGCTTTGACTAGGCGGATCTTTGTTGCCATTCTGATGTCTCTACTCTTTACTATTTTATCGAGATTTGACATTGCTCTCCTCCCAAGAAGTAAGCGTCTTCTGATTTCCTGGCTACAGTCTGCATCTGCAGTAATCTTTGCACCTAGAAATACAAAGTCTGTCACGGCCTCCACGGTTTCTCCCTCTATTTTCAGTTGTCAATCATTCTTGTTGCCATAATCTTGGTTTTTTTTATGTTTAGCTGCAACCCGCTTTTGCGCTTTCTTCTTTCACCTTGATTAGAAGGCTCCTCAGCTCCTCCTCGCTTTCGGCCATCAGAGTGGTGTCATCTGCATATCTGAGGTTGTTAATGTTTCTTCCAGCAATTTTCACCCCAGCTTTGCATTCATCCCCCGCACATCGCATGATGTGTTCTGCATACAAGTTAAAAAGGTTGGGTGAGAGGATGCAGCCTTGCCGTACGCCTTTCCCAATCTTGAACCAGTCTGTTGTTCCGTGGTCAGTTCTTACTGTTGCTACTTGGTCCTTGTACAGATTCCCCAGGAGAGAGACAAGGTGGCTTGGGATGCCCATCCCACTAAGAACTTGCCACAATTTATTATGATCCACACAGTCAAAGGCTTTAGAATAGT